TAAAGTATCGGGAAACCCACTATGGAAATAAATGTGTATGGGCAGTTTTCTCTACAGAGCAGAACAGAATTTTTTGTTAACACTTAACTCCATCATTTTCTCTGATAATGAAGAAATTTCAGCCTATCCATGCTCAAACTCATTGTGTAATCATCAACAAAACTGATAGTAAAACACGGCCCTCTACATTTCCAGCTCAGTGTTTTTGAAGTAACTTTGCAACTGAAGACTTTGCCATGGACCCATGAGAAAGCATGTTTAAATGAGAATGTATCCTAATAGCAGTCTCATGAGAGTAATCATAGCAGTGATATATAATTTAGTATCAGTCCTGGGGCTTTAACTCAAGGCTTGGGTGCTGTCCCTGAGATTTTGTGCTCAGGGTTAGTGCTGTACCACTTGATCCACAACTTCACTTCCAGCTATTTTTGGTAATTAACTGGAGATAAACATTTCACAGACTTTCCTGTCCGGATTGGCTTCAAACCACAGTCCTCAGTTCTCAGCCTCTTGAGTAGCTGGGATTACAGGCATGAGCCACCGGCACCCACTTGCAAATAATATTTACAAATAATGCCTTTAGATAGATAGTTCCAGAGTCTACAATAGCAATTTGCTTTCATTAGCTAAGAAGAATGTTAATTCTCTTGGGTGCGATTTAAAGCACAAAGAAAATAAATGCTTTATCTCCTAAACTGAAATAACTTCCAGCATCAATCTGCCAGCATTCTATCACAACCTTCAGGGCATTTGAACCACTAAATGGCCCTACTAGTTCAGGTATAGGTGATTTCCTACTGGAAAATAACTGATGTGTGAGCCCCTCCCTTATGGTTTTCTTAGCATTGAGTCAACTTGCCAGCTTGCCTTATGCTATAAACCTGAAGGACAAACTCATGAACCAAACATCAGCTAACAACCTCCTGACGTCTACTTCCATGCATCCTGCCACAGCCTTGGACTTCCAGAGCAGCTCAGTCTTCTTGCTCCCTATTTTTCAAGTTCCTTCTGAGCAGCCATTCATTTCCAGCCCCAGTCTTGCTTATTCCTCTGTGCGGTCATAACTTCACCAAATTTACCTTGAGATTCCTTGGAGGCTAAATTTCAATGTCCTGGATGTAAGTAGAAAAGTCTGTGCATTGTGATCTTTTGCTTGTGGGACCTCCCTGTGGCATTAAATCCTAAAACCTGAATCTCAGTTCTGTAACTGAAACCTGAATCTCACATCTGTAACTGACATTTCTCTCTATTTTGGAGTCTTCATTCATCCAAGAAGAACAATCCCATATATTAAGGAGCATACAACTGAGATATTGAATAGAAAATTTGTCACTAAAACACATCACTATCAAACAATTGCTCTAATCTAGAGGACAGTGAAACATTTAAAAATGGAGTGGTTAAATAATAAACTATGGAGACTGGAATGAAAAGATTAGATTCTGGAACAGACATGATGTACTGGGTGAAGAAGTCAAGGTAAATAATGCAATTTCACTGAACTCCATTTGTATTATCTGAGAAGTTCATTTACTCAGCCAGTGTTTATTGCAAGTTTTGTATGAGGCAGACACTTCTTGAGCTGTGGGAAACATTAATAAACCAAACAGGCAAGGATCATTATCCTCCAAGGATGCAATGACTGTAAAACCTAGCTCACAGCATTATAGTGAAGATAAAGAGAGATACTTAAAACACAAAGCATCTTATAAATAGAGTATGTCCCACAGAAGTTAATGCTGCCTGCGCTGTTGGACTCATAAGCAATCATACATGGCATATAAAACTTCATGAAATAATTGCATTCTATGGATATAAAATACTACGCACCATCACACAACCATAGAGTTAAGAGTTCAATGTGAGTGTCCCATTTACAGCAACTCTCTCTCATCACCTGTCAAAGCAACTTAGTATGTTGGGACACCAAGTATAGGGTGCTAGATGGGTAAAAGCAGAGAACCGTAGAGATTTAAATGGAATAATGAAACTAATAACCAGTCTTCTGTATGTACTCAGATATTTGTATACCAATGTTGACAGCAGCAATATTCATGAGAGCCAAAATGTGGAAATAACCCACATTGGAAATACTCGCTGACCAATAAATGGATAAACATATGTGGTGGCTACACAGAGTTGAACATTAGTAGCCTTGAAAGAGGGATAGAAGTCTGTTCCATGCAAGTACCACATGATTGAACCATGAGAATATTGAACTAAATGAAATAAGACAGGCACAAAAGAACATATGTTGTATTATACTTGTAATCATACTAGGCACCTAGCCAAATTATAGAGAAAGAAAACAATGATGGTCACCAGGGACTGAAGAGAAAGGAGAATGGGTAAGTTTTGTTTTATGAGTACAGAATTTCAGTGTGGGAAGATGAAAAAGTTTTAGAATAGTTGGTGATAATGGTTACACAACATTATAAATATAATGCCACCAAAACAAACAACTTAAAATTGGTTAAGATGGTGATTTTATTGTATATTTGAGCACTAAAAGAAAAAAAAAGATCTTCCTTTTGTTATCATCACATTCCAGGAATTTTGAGAAGTTGTCAAAATTCTCAATCCCCCTAAAAATCTTTTTTATACATTTTTATTATAAAAATACTGTACAGAGGGTTTACAGTTACATCAGCAAGGTAATGAGTACATTTCCTATCAAGTATTACTCTTGAGATGTAAAAAGACAAGATAGATAGATAAATACATACATACATACATACATAAATACATACATACATAGACAGACCCATGATATATAGGATATATATATATATATATATATATATATGCATATACCACCAACTATTCAGGAAAACAATACCTGCTTTTTTTTCTGAGTAGATTGTTTTGGAACCCACTTGGTCCATGAATCAACATCACCACTAATCAAACAGAATTTTTTAGTTGCCATTCTATGAGAATACCATATAACCCTGTGACTATATGATTATATCTATACTTGTGCATATTTTATATTGTTTTATTTAATATTCATTTGTGTCCTCCTTAAAATGGCATATTTTAATTATTACTTCTTAATAAACCTTGTATATTACATAGAAGTCAGTTTGGAGGAAACACAGCTATACTGTCAGACTCCAACATATGTAGATTCAGTTACATGTGCTTATTTTTGAGAGAAAATCCATAGTAGCCAGAAACAATTCCTCATAATTTAGACACACTCTTAGTCTCTGGTACCTTTGGTACCACAAATTCTGATATAGACATTAGATTTGAGCTTGGCAATAATTTAGTGTCCATAAGAACCTAGAAATAAAACAGATTAACTCAATTTTAGTAATTAAATTTATGGTAAAAATTCTGCTCCATAAGTACAGGTTTTTATATATGTATATCTATTTCACCATTGTTACAGAAAATTATGTTGAAATATTGTAGGATGTGTTGACAAATGATCTGCCCCAGGTATGAAATACATTAAATACATCAATGCCTTAACAAATGCCTAATGAATATGAGAGTGAATAGCAAACTCAAAATGCAAATAATAATGTCAAAACTATATCACCTAATAACCATTTGAAGTAAATAAATCATGCACTTTGGGAGGAAATTATTTTAAAATCTACAGAAATGATATCAGATGACAGATCTCTATGACAATAGACACTACTTGGAAAACACCTCAGGGAAATATCATTTGAGTGATTTTTCATTTCCTTTAGTCATGTAATATACATCTAAATTATCAATCATGTTAGTTCTCTGTCTCTGCACTAAGGAAAATACATACATACATTCACACACCACATACATTCACTCACACAAATTTTTCTTCCAATGCTTTTTTAAAATCTCATCCAAATTACACAATTAATGTTTTAATGCCAATTCTATTTCTCATCCTAATGACGATAATGATGTTGTCAATGCTATGGGTCAATTTTATGCCTACTCACAGGAAAGAAGAAAATTGGGGCACCACTGTGAATGTCAGGCCACCTCCTCATTCAATCAATTGAGACAATCTGTAAAGCAAAGTGCTGGCTTTTGTTTCACCTTCTTGAAGCATGTGAAACATTATATGAGCTCTAATTGATTTTTCTTCTTTTTTGGAATCTTCTGTTAGGAGTGCCTTTGTGTTGTATACAGAGCACATAATTCACTTGTTTCATTCTCTTTTATGGTTTCTATAAGCAGTTAGAAGTTACTTAGAGAAAGAAGCTCCCAGAAAAAGTAGCCTTCAACTCTGAGACTCTATACCATCATTAAAGAGGCCAAAATTCATTCTTCAGGTTGTGGACTGTGAATTTCAAGTCACTGTATCACCAGGAATCAAATATCCATTCATAAAACAGTATGGACTTTTACCTTAAACTGCTAGAGACAAATGGATAGCCACAAACCCCAGTCTTCCTAGGTTAGATATTGATTTGAAGAACAATAAGGTAGGCAGAGCTGGGAGGGGATTTGGCTGGGAGGGGATTTCTTCAATTGGTAACCTACTGTGACCCAAACACTGAATCACAGAATGGTTTATTTTGTTTGGATCTGTTTTGTTCTTCAAGAACCACAAATGACACTATTTTATGTAAAATTAAATGTACTCACAGTACTTGTGGTGCAATTTAAATATGTTTTCAGTGTTTTCCTCCAGAAATTCACAGAGTGTAAAATGATTTGCACAGCTTGACATTCCTTTTTATTGACACAGAATTAACTCTGCTGACTTGATAAAACAAAACTAAATTAAGCCAGAATTACATTAATTTTATTTTATTTTCTAAATAGCTGCTTCAGCTAAGATAGCCTTAGTGGAAATATCCATTTTATGCTTTATTTAACTCTATAGAATTTCTCTCTCATTTAAGTCTAAGTATTAAACTGCTTCATCTGGATTTTTCTTTTGTTGTTTACTTATTAGTTTGCCAAAGAAGCAGCTTGGCTGATACTTTCTGGTTTCTTTTTATGCATTCAAAGCTTCTGAAATGCAAAGACCATTTGGATTGGCCAGACCCAGAACAAAAAAAAAACATATCTTATTGCAAAGCTCTTATTTCTCCATTTCCCTTTGGATACAAAGAATTCTCATAAATGTATTACCAGCAATTCAGGTAAACAACTCATCTTTTATTCTGAGTAAAGTGTTCTTGTTGGAACCCAGTTTAGAATCTTGTTCCATGATTCAGCATTATTACTAATCAAACCAGGGGGATTTTTATTCAGTATTTGCAAGGAATATTGCATACTAAAAGCAGAATGCCTGGCTAGCTGTTGTTGGCTTCCAAGGACACTCAGTGCCACACATTCACATTTATTTTTAGATCTCCATTATCACACAGTGGTGCATGACAAATAACCACAAAATATTACTGCTATACAACAATTGTGTAGTGCCCATGCATCTGGGGTGGTTGGCTAGGTGTCCCTCCTGCTCTTTGCCAGCTGCCAAGTCATCTATGTTGTCTTTGGCTAAGGAGAGCAGTGCCACTCAGATCCTACATTTGCAGATTACCACACACTTCACAATGTAAACCAATTTATTTTCCCAACTCTGTAGATCAAACACGTGAGTTGTCTTCATTGGATTTTTTGCTCTAATTTTCTTACAAGCTATTGGTCAACTAGGCTCTTACTATAAGGCTCTCAGAAGAATGTACTTCCAAGCTCCTTCTGACTCCTGGAAGAACCTGTTTCCTTTTAGCAGGATATTTTCTGCTAGTATGTTATGATTGCTTAGCAACTGATTGTTTCACCCACATAACCCAAGCTATTCTCCTTATTTTAAGGTCTGAAGAATCAATCTGAAAAAATCTATTTTGCTACATGACATAAAATACCCTCCAGTCCCAGAGATTTGAGTGTGGACCCTATTGGAGGGCCATGGTATCCAATATGGCCTAGCCTGATGACTTGAAGAGGTGTACACAGGAGAGAGGATAAGGCTACTCACTTACATACTTTTCAGCATCCAATGACTGAGGAAGCCACTAGGTATTGCCTAGGGTGGGAATGGGGGACACTACACAGTTAGATGGCAAAGGATGTGGATATGAGACGGCAAACAAAAAGAGTCCATTTTCATGGTCTACCATAGACCCACTAAAGATAACAGTGATACAGTGTTTGGTTTGTTAGTTATCCCTGCACACCAGGTGGTAGACAAGAGTAATGTCTCTACAGCCTAAAGGATGGTCACAATGCAGAATCCACCACAGTTTCCCATTAACCTAGCTGAGGGAGTTGTTCATGGTGTTGAAAGTGTCAACCATTTTGCTCCTCACTAATGTGAGGTGTTAAGTGAAGTTCAAACCAAATACGTAGGCCTTTTCTGTTCGTAGTTCATGCCTGTAATCTTATCTACTCAGGAGGATGAGATCTGAGAATCATGGTTCAAAGCTGGAAGTAGAACTGTGGTTCAAGTAGTAGACTAGGCTTAACATATTAACTTCAGGGACAGAATCCAGGCCCCAGGACCAACACACACACACACACAACACACACACACACACACACACACACACACACATCCATACCTAATATTCTATGCCAAAAATAGCCCTAAAGAATTAATATACCTATACAAGGTAAGTATCATTATATCTCCCACAATACATACTTTGTATACACAACACATATACAAATTGATGTTATAAAACTTAAGCTCATACATCTAGAAAATGGTAGAGTCTGCTTATAGACTTGGAATGTTAATAGGTATTTCATAAAATGAAGGTTCTATATTAGATTCTTGCAATTTATTTAAAGTATCAGACCATATTGAGTTACAGGGGGAAAGTTGTAACAGCAAATTTAACTTTAAAGCATTTACCCTAAAGGCTGCGGCACAGAACAAAAGCCATACCTACAATGGGTGGGGTTCAATTAATCATCATGTGCTGAATGTATACTATGTATAAAGCTCTAGTGTAATGCTCTGGGACTTTTAAAGAAATGTCACTGACTTAAGCATTGCTAAAACTTCAATAAGAAGGCCTAGTAACAACAACTATTATAGGGTAGTAGCTCAATAAATGAGTGCTGATTGGCCAAGATATATATAAACAATACCAATAGTGATACTATAGCATAAATGTCACATGTATAAGGGTGACAGGGATTCACATCTGGGGATATAAGCTCCCCTTCAGAGAAAGTGTGTAAGGATATGGACACACAAAAAGTCTGAAAAGAAGACAGGGTTTTTCCAGAAGAAGCTTAAAATTTTCATTCTGTAAGCAACATGTTTAGAGACTGGTGTTACATTTGTGCCTCTCTTCATTTATCCATCTGCGCATTCAGTCATTCATCCACTTGAAACATTATTAACTGATTATTAGCCTTTATCTAGGTCTTGAGGTTATAGTGAAGAATGATGGGTTGAAGCAAGATGCGGGAGGCTCACATCTGTAAACCTAGCTACTAAAGATTGTGAGGTCTGAGGATCAAGGTTCAAGGCAAACCAGGGCAGAAAAGTCCAGGAGACTCTTATCTCCTATAACCATCAGAAAAAAAGGTTGGAGTTGGGGTTTTGGTTCAGTTGTTGGGGCCCCGGCTTTGGGGGAAAAAAAAGCTCAGAGACATAGTGTGTGGGAAAGGGACAGACATCATGCAAATAAACACACCGCCAAATTACAGATTGTAGTCTTACTGAGCAAACTCGTTCTGTGAGAGAGAATAGTAGGACAGGAAGGACCTTATTTTACACTAATTACCCTGGGGTTCCCTGAGAGGGTTATTTTGGCTGAGATCTCAGGCATGAGCAGTCAGCTGTGAAGAGAGCTAGGGTATGGCAGTTCAGATAAAGAGGATTGCTGCTGCAAAGGATAGAGAAGCTGAGAAAGATACTAACTAATAATGAGCTGGGCGAGATTACATTATTGGAGAATGGAGAGATGGAAAGGACCAGACAATGTTACCAGCCTGCAGAATATCCATATTTTGAGTGAAGGTAGGGAGGAGAAATCAGGGACAAAGACTGAAGATAAGGAAAGGGAAGAAAATAATAGAGCACCACAGTAGTCAGGAGGGCTCAAGGTGTTTTTGTTGTTGTTTTGTTTTGTTTTTTAGGAAAAGGAGGCAAATTGACTGGAACATGCCTATTAGCTACTAACCTAGATGTGGAGAGAGAAGAAGTGATCATTGATTCAGGTAACACTGGAATTTTCAGTGAACTTGGACAATTTCTATGGAATGGCAGGGATGAATAGTCCAGCAGAAGTAGAGTCATGGTAGGTGATGTGCATATGATCTGAATGTTGGTATTTCCAGTATTTATTTGTTGGAACCTACTGCTCAATAGGCTGGTACTATGGGAGGTAATGCAGGCATTGGATCTCTGCTCTCATGAGTAGAATTAATCTTGTTATAAAGGTTGAAGGGAATTGTCTACCATGAAGTGATGTAAAAGGTGGCATCTTGGATGCACAGGCCAAACCCTACTAGACACTGAATCTATTGGTATCTTGATCTTGGACTGGCTACCTCTCAAAACAGTGAAAGATAATTTTCCACTGTTGCTAGATTACCCAGGCCCATGTATGTAGTTCGGGCTACCTAAATGGACTGTGACATCTATTTGAGTAATTTTAGCATTGTTACATCTGTATGTTCCTTTAACCCAGAACATTTCTCAGTGGAACCCTAGGGATGCTGAGAAATTATTTTCAGGATTGCTGCTCTACAGGAAGAAGGAAAAGTCATTTCCACTCAAGCAGTTCTGTTGTTAACTAACTTACCTATTGGTAAGTTTCAAGTGAAACATTCAGAGAAGATTTAAAAGCATCCTCCTTGAAGATGTATGTTTCTGAGTCCCAGGCATCTTTTCTTCCCCCATTCTGATCTCTTTAAAAATTGTCTTTTATAAATTATTATTTTGTATAGTTGTTATACAGTTGTTATAGTTACATGAATCAGTACAGTTCTTTTTGAACCAAGTGTCCCCTTTCATTACTCTCTCCCAGTCTTTCCCTTCCATCCCCACCCATATGATATCCAGTTCATTTTCTACAGAGTATCTGGTGAGTATAACTGTTTTATTTGTTCATCTTTGTTCCACCCTTTATGTGCCCTCCCTTCTCCCAAATACAAACAAAGAAAAGAGAACAAAAACAGCAACGATGGCAACTAATGTGTGTCTCTTGTTTCCTTCTTTGGAGTTCATTTCATAGAATATTATTTTATATGATCAGATAACCATAGGTATTGAGCCTTAGTCAACTACTCTTATGCTTAGCCTCCTTTGCCCTCTGTATGTTAATGACTAGAGTCCTATATAATTTATCATGTCCTACTATTATTTCTTATATATATTTTTATTGTAAAAATACTGTACAGAGGGGTTACAATTATATGAGTGAGATGAGTACATTTCCTTTGTTTTTCTCCTACCGACAACCCAGCAACCCTCCCCCTCCCCCCACCCGCCGCCAAGTTGTAAAGCTCATGTTCAACATAGTGTCTTGACATCTCATTGTTTCAATAGGCCAACTTGTATCCTTATTTCAGCATTTTGTTATTTCCCTTCCCTTCCCCAAATTAGAAAAATGTATATACAAGATACAGGGCACAGACTTCAAATTCAGTGAAAACAGGGATTATGCCATGGGGGAAGAACATACAAAAGAAACACATAATAAATTATAAATACATTAAAACAACAGCAAAAAAGATTAAACCTCTTGTGTCCCTATCTTGGGGTTCATTTCGCTTAGCATCATCTTATATGGTCATATGTATATAGCTTTTGACCTCTTCTGCTTGTCCTAGACATATACTAGTTATTGCAGATAAGGAAAACCACAGGACCTATGTTTCTTTAGGCCTGGCTTACTTCATTTAATATAATTTTTCCAGGTCTTTCCCTTTCCTAACAAATGGGACAATGCCATTCTTTCTGATGGAGGCATAGAATTCCATTGTATTTATGTATGTTATGTATGTGTGTGTGTATATATATATATATATATATCACATTTTCTTGATCCATTCATCTACTGAGGGGCATCTGGGTTGCTTCCATATCTTAACTATGGTAAATAATGCTGCAATAAACATAGTTGTGCTGGTGGCTTTAGTATAGCCTTGTTTGTGATCGTTTGGGTAAATGCCCAAAAGTGGGATTGCTGGGTCATAGGAGAGCTCTATGTGGAATCTTTTGAGGAACCTCCATACTGCTTTCCAAAGTGGTTGAACAAGTTTACACTCCCATCAACAATGCAGTAGGGTTCCCTTTTGGCTACCTCCCCTCCAGAATCTGTAGTTATTAATCATTCAGTGTGTTTACTTGTAGTTCTATAGGCACATTCTAGTTACCTCAAATGTGGGAAAACATACAGCCTATGCTTCTTTGGTGCTGGCTAATTTACTTAACATGATTTTTTCCAATTCTTTCCATTTCCTTACAAATGGTAGAATATCATTCTTTCTGATGGAGGAGTAGAATTCCATTATATACATACACATACACAAACACACACACACACACACACACACACACACATCACATCACATCACATTTTCTTGATCCATTCATCCACTGAGGGACATCCAGGCATCTAGCTTGATTCCATATCTTGGCTATCAGAACAATGTTACAATAAACATGGTTGTGCTGGTAGCTTTAGTGTGGCCTGGTTTGTGGTTCATTGGATAAATCAGACATCTTCTTTAACAGGAACCACAACCCTACTAACCTGTCAGGCCTCAGTACCTCAATGGAGATACCTAGCTCCTAATATTGCCCATTGATGGCACTCCAGTTTTGTGTTTAAGACTATGCCATGCTGATATCTGCCTATCTGCATGATGCATATAATCTATGCCCCTAAATTTTCATATTCATGGTCTCTATAACAGAAATAACACCCATCATTTTCTTGATTGGCTATTTTCTTTTTTCTTTTCTTTTTTGTCATGCCAGTCCAGGGACTTGAACTCAGGGCCTGGACACTGACCCTGTGCTTTTATGCTCAAGCCTAGCACTCTACCACTTTGAGCCACATTGTCATTTCCAGCTGCTGCTATTGTTTTTCCTTCTCTTCTCCTTCTCCTTTTACTTTTCTCTTTTTTTGTAGTTAGTTGGAAATGAGAGTCTCATGGACTTTCCTGCCTGTGCTGGCTTCAAATCAGTATCCTGAGATCTCGCTTCCTAAGCATCTAGAATTATAGGTGTAATCTTCGTGTAAGTCATCCCACCAGTACCTGGATTGACTGGCTATTTTGAAAGCTATTTTTCTGTCTGAATGAATAATATAATCCACCTATCATTTTATTTAGCTGAATGATTGATTGCTTATACTTCTTGGATTTTTCTTAGTTATTTTTCCCATTGTTTCTAGGCTAAAAGGAAGACATTGATTTTTACTGTATGCTCTTATTTGAGTCCCAAGAATAACTTTATCCTTCATGTTATATCAGGAGGTGGGCTAGGAGTTAAATAATGCATAATTGGAAGCAGAAATTGGATGAGCAACTCTCCATCATTAGAAAAATTATTTTGTGATTGTGTATGTGACAGAGGTGGGAAGATGAAACAGAGAACATACTTGTGCATAAGGCTGGAACAGTGATCTAAGTGAGGTAGTAGAATGGCCTAATTAGCAGAAACATAAGGAAAGTAAAAGAAAGAATTCAGAAATACTCCAGTACCTAGAACCTACAGTAGACATTTCTTCCTGGTACAAAGGATAGTACCTCATAGCCCTGTGAAAGCAGATGTGTCCATTTGCCTCAACTAAATGCATTGATTTATTTCAACTGATTTGAGGGAAAGAATGAGTTTTAATTTCTAGGCAAAAGAGGTAAGACTGGTAGGAAGGCCTTTATCCTTCAGCTTCCCTCATTGTGTAGTATTTATGAGAATTACAAAAACAGAGCTACCAGAGAAAAATTCTGAGACTTTTTATCAGTAGAGTTGTCTAGAAGAGCCACTCTAGTAGCCATTAAACATGGTATGTTACACTAAGTCACTCTTAGTAGGTAAATAAGGGAAAAGAGAGTGTGTATATATAATCTAGCTTAGCCCTGATAGAATTATTTTACTTCTTGGCTAAATAAGACTAGGAAAATAAATATCACTACCACATGACTATAAGTTAGCCTTGCCTGACTTTTTTTTTCCTCAGAAAGCTGAGTGCATAGTTTTTAACAATGCCCTAAAAAAATGAATCCTCTGTAAACATCTACCACTTTAGAATGCTGTATTATGTGTCTCCTCACTTTTCTCAATACATCTCTAATTTCTGACATAAGAAACTCTTTACATATTTCCAGGATTACACCTAATAATACCTGAGAAAGAGATTAAAAAAGAAAGAACCCATGCCTTGCCATCCTTCCTTGGTTTTTCCAGCTTCTAATTGTCTTTCCAGTTAATGTCACTAACAAGTTCTTTGTTAAAGTCGTTTTAGCAGGAAGAATATATTATCATTGAGCAATAACATAACATACAGCAGCATCTTGACAGATCCTTCCCAGAGAACATTTTTTTCTTTTTTTCATAGGCAATGTTAAATAGCTTTTCATTTCAATGCACTTTGTTGCACGATATTTCAAACACTAGAAAATGCTGGTATTATACATTAGAATTATTTTCTAAAATATATCAACATATTGTCAAATGACAAAATGTGCAAAATAAAAACACATTATGCCTGCCATGGTAGGGATAATGCTAAATGAAATGTTGGAATAAAACAGGAAAAATCAAACCTATAATTTATTTTGATTGCCATTTGCTAATATGTTTTCAAAACATATATAAAATCATAAACCACACTGACGAGTTAGTAGATAAGGTTGTTTAACTGAATAATTATCTAAAGGCAATTGCATCATTAATGCACATAAATTCAAACCTGCTTTAACAAGCATCTCATTCTTTTTTTTAACCTTTTTTAAAATATAACACTCCTTCTTGATGCCATACAAAAATACCACAAGGTTATAGTTTACTTCTTCCTGGCTAAATTGACTATATGAGGTCTACTAAGAATTACAAGGCTGTATATAATTTTCACACAACCCTGTTATTTCCATAAAGAGTATAATCTATAATAAATAATTATAGTATTGATAAGACAAAACTGTAAATGTGTGATTTGAAAGTCCTTCTCAGATACAGTAACCATAGACATAGCCTTCATTCAGCTCTTTAAACCTACTAATTTCTCTGTGTGTGTGTGTGTGTGTGTGTGTGTGTGTGTGTGTGCGCTTGATTGGAGATAAAAGACTCAGTGACTGCCTTGCTTTGGTTGACTACAAACTGTGATCCTCAGATCTCAGCCTCCTGAGTAGCTAGGATTATAGATAGACATGAGCTACTGGCACCCAGCAGAAGTTAATTACTTGAAACAAATTCATGACCTTTATGTCAGTTGGTTCTGCAACTAGTAAGGATTAGCATAGAATAGAACACCAGACTATATACAATGGTGGTTTCTTCCGCAAAAAAAAAAGAGCCTGCAATTTGTTGGATGAAATCCAAGCTCTTGGTATGCAAAATATTACCCACAAACCCTGAGGATCTACATCAGCTGGGGCTTGAGAGACAGCTCTAGGATAGTTTAGGGTCACACTTCAGCTTTTTATTGGATTCCCAGATGATTCTTAAGAGAGGACTAACATCGAGTTCTACAGAACCTAAATAAAACCTTCTAAATAAACTGTTGCTTCTAAATAAGACATTGGACCAAGTAAGAATCAATGATTCTAGATAAGTACTGTTGGGAACTTTCTTAGGTTCGGTAAGGTAATCTTACTCCAACTTTGCCATCTTGGTTTTTATTCTGGGAGTCAACATAATGCTGGTGGGGCTATTTTTCTTCTTGTTGAATCAGTCATGGACAATGAAAGTAACTGTGAATATAAAAGGAAGGGAAGAACTCATCGGTGTTGCTAAAATGCTATATTACCTCCGTATTCTGTGATTAGTCTTTTGGGTTTTTATTCACTGGTGTATTAATTTAATTTGTCTTATGGGCATGCATGATATACCATGCT